ACTCACACACTAATGTCCATAAATATGTCTGGGTGGTTTAAAATGAGCTTAATTCGGACATCAAATCCGATAAAGTTCTTTTTAAGCTGTTATGGCCACAGAGTGAGATGAAAAAATCTTCTGTGGATTGATGGGTAGACTTTACTTCACAATATATTTTCATTTGAGTGGAGTTGATTACACTATCACCTCACCGCAAGTAGGTCACTGATTTGAGTCCTGGCTGGGTCAGTTGGCATTTCTGTGTGGAGTTTGCAAGTTCTCCCTGTGTTCGCACGGGTTTCCTCCAAGTGCTCTGTTTTCCCTCACAGTCCAAGGACATGCGCTAAAAGTGAATTGAATAAGCTAAATTGGCTTTAGTGTATGTGAGAGTGTATGGGTGTTTCCCAGAACTGGGTTGCAGCTGGAAGTTCATGCGTGAAACATATGCTTGATAAGTTAGCGGTTCATTCCACTGTGGCGACCCCTGATGAATAAAGGGACTAAGCCCAAGGAAAATAAATAAATGAATGAATGAAGAGGACATGGGGAATTTGTACTTACTACAACTTTCGATTAAAATAAAAAAGGACAACAATAATTAAAAATGTGAACAAGAAATAAAATGCAAAATGAAATAAAATATTTTATCAAAACTTAATGAGACTGAAAATGTATCCTTATAGGTGAAATAATTAAAACTTGGATTAAATTTCCCAAATGGAGGTGTAAAACTAAAACTGAATTAAAACCAAATTTGAAATAAAAAAATTCAAACTAACATAGTATACAAAAACAATGACAGCACAGTACAGTACACGATAAATTATTAAAACTACAATCTTTATTTTTATAGCGCTTTTACAATGTAGATTCTATTAAAGTTGCTTAACATAGAAGTTCTAGTAAATTGAAAATGACAGCCCAGTTTTCTGAGATGAAGTTCCGTTTAGTTGTTTAATGTGATTTAATTTTCACAAATTTTCAAATCCAAAAATAACAATAAAAACAATAAAACAATAAAAAATAGTTTAAGGCGACACAGTGGCGCAGTAGGTAGCACTGTCACCTGACAGCAAGAAGGTTGCTGGTTTGAGCCTCGGCTGAGTCAGTTGGCGTTTCTGTGTGGAGTTTGCATGTTCTCCCTGCGTTAGGGTTTCCCCCACAGTCCAAAGACATGCGGTACATGTGAATTGGGCAGGCTAAATAGGCCTAGTGTATGAGTGTGAATGACTGTATGCATGTTTCCCAGAGATGGGTTACAGCTGGAAGGCCATCCGCTGCTTAAAACATGTGCTGGATAAATTGGCGATTCATTCCGCTCTGGCAACCCCAGATTAATAAAGGGACTAAACCAAAAAGAAAATGAATGAATGAATAAATAGTTTAAGAAACAATGACAGCACAAAACACAATGTATTATAAAAATTACAAGTAAAATGGAAATATAGAAAAACATATTTTAAAAATGTAAAAAAAAAAAACTAATAATTTTTCAACTTAACAAAACACATTGAAAGTAAACAGAAATTAAAGCTAAAACTGAAATGGAAATAAAATAAACAAAGCTAAATGGGTATTTTTTTGTAAATAAATACAATAAAATCTGTAAGTCATTTTTCGCAATTTTTGTCATATTTTATACTTTTTTTTTTGGTTTAGAAATAATATAAATGAAAATCATTTTAATTAAGAATAGGTTTAAAATGCTATTTATGCCAGTGATTCAAAGCTGAATATTTACTGAAAAAAGCATGATTTTCTGAAACCCATTTCTTAAACCTTTTAAACTACAGTTGAAGTAAGAATTATTTGCCCTCCTGAATTAATAGCCCTAGCCTAAATATAACAGGTAAGACTTTCTCCAGAACAAAAAAAATATTACCAGACATCTGTTAAACATCATTTGTAAAATATTTTAAAAAGAAAACAAAATTCAAAGGAGGGCTAGAATACTGACTTCAACTGTAAATTGTTATTGGGGAAAGTTATTTTTCAAAGTAATGCATTACAATTTTTAGTTACTCCTCAAAAAAGTAAGTTACATTACTAAGTTACTTTTTATAATAAGTAATGTGTCACGCTACTTTTGAGTTACTTTTGCATTACCTTTCTAACCTGGCTGAGACTTGATCTGTTTCAGATCTTGCAGGATTTTTTCCTTCTTTTTTAAAATAAAGCAGCTCTGCAATAAACATCGCACTAAATAACCTACACCTTCATTTACCTTTTAAAACACATCATAAAATAATAATGTAGGATAATCTTATCTTTTGAGAACTTCCTGACCCTCAAGGATATATGCCTATACAGGTAATAATGAAAGTCTAATGCAATGTGACTACTACTTTTGTCTTTTTTGTGCTATTAATAAAGTAAAATCACTATCCATTGAGACTATAATCCTGTTTTCCTTTTCTGTGATTCGTTCAGAATAATAAGAAAACTCCCATTGCAGAAATATAAGGCTCTGCCATGTTGGTTTCTGTCTTTTCCTGCATTCTATCATTGAGTGTGGGATTCAATCTGACATTTATTTTATTTCAGCCATTTGTTTTTATAAGCTAATTAATTAAGCTAAAAAGTCACTCAAATAGTATTACTTAATTTTTAAAAATATGCATTACTCATTACTTAGAAAAGTAATATTATTACGTAACTCGTTACTTGTAATGTGTTACGCCCTCAACACTATAATTGTAAAACAGAATAATGTTTTATGTCTTTACCAAGTACAAAAACTGTGATGTTTTGCATGATATGTATTTCATTTAAACAGCCCATTTCAGATGAGTCATTATCTGTGAAACATTGACAGACCTCAGCTCATGCTGCCATTCATTATTCCTCAAAAATCATGCTAAGTCATAGCGTGAATGGGGATGTGGCTAAAGTTACTATTTAATTTCCATTTACTCCTTTCTCTTACCATAAAGTGATTCAAATTCAGCATGCTCCACTATGACTGTCCCTAAGTAGACAGCAAAACTCCCTTATTTCTAAAGAAATGTCCCTTGGTTAGTCATGTGTGCAAGCGCAAGTTACTAGTAGACCACAGATGACAACTGAACATGTACTACATGCATTACATTACATTTACTGTAACCTGTAAATTCTTGCAAAGTTCATGAGAATCTGGCGGCGCGCTGCAGACAGACAGGACAGACAGACAGACAGACACACATACATAGACACGCCCGCGCAACATCATCCGCTCCGCCAGTGCGCGCTCTCGCTGTGTGTGACGCGCGATCTGTCTGAAGGCTTTGAGTGTGTGCGCGTGTTGTTGACGCTCAGACAGACTAGAGGAGAGACCGAGAGAGACAGCAGAGCAGATCGTTCATCCTGAGGCAAGTCCCTTTAAAACCCACATCTGATTCGCCTATACACTGCGTCCATTACTCTGGTGGATCAGCAGTTTGTCGCTGTGTTTTTTAAAACCGTTTTGAAGGTTTGTAATAGTTAAGTGACGTTTATTTCTGTCTCTGAACGGGGATTTGTAGCGTTAGCTCGGTTAGCGCGTGCTAAAGGGTCTAAATATTCTAGCCGCACTGCTAAAGCTGTCTGTGCGAACGAGCCAGTTTTTCAGATGTTAAACCGGTTTTGGTGCTGTCAATGAGCAATAATAATTTGCTTATAGGTGGCGTGTGAATTTTTGAGATGTGTGTTTTGATGTGCCATTTAAAAGGGTATAATATACGTGTATATTATGTGTTTAACCTGGTCATATTGGTGATCGAGCTGGGAGTATTTGTGTGATTGATTTAAATCTTAGATATGATCTATATTGTGTTTAATACAAATGTCTGTATTTCTGTTTTTCAAAAACAGTTTTGGGGATATCGCTGTTTAACGTATTTTGAGGGGGTGGTCAGGTGTCAGACTGGCTGAATGGTTGGCAAACGTTTCACTGCCGAATGAAGACATGGGAATGGATTTAAAATAGAAGCTTTCGATGTCGTGTTGGGATATTTAATGTGTAATAGCCGTGATCAGGTTTTCTTTTCATGTGAAGGGTTTTCCCGATTGCGGGGATGGTGATTGTCACACCGCGGGTGCTCAGCGCAGCTGTGCCCGGAGAAGGAGAGGGGAGAGACGGGTAGAGGCGGGGACAGAGCCGCGGTGTCCTTGCGGGGGTAAAAAGAGAGACGCTGTCATTCAGGGTTAAAAATAGACCGCGTTTTGCCAGTGTTTCTGGAAACTGGTTATTTTATGAGGAAATGAAACGACGTCTGCGGTCAGGGTCAGTCTGTTTGAGTTGACCCGCAAATCTGGTAACGTTAAAGCAAAACCAAGCGTTTATTTCGAGGAACTTGAGATTATTATGCTTTGGTGGCCCTTTAATTTTCGCCAAAATGAATGCATTCCGTTTGTAGAACAGAAACGCATGTTGTGATTCTGAAATGAAACGCGTTTTTCTGATGGATTTTGCCGAAACCCCACTGGCATGCGCTGAATTTGAGGCTGAGCTTTCATTTTGCCTTCATATTCGTGCTCGGAAATTCCGCCAGTTCAGGCTTTTGCTTGTACGATGAAAACATCCTTTTTTATTTACAATATAATATATACATTTAATCTTGCGTGGCAGAAGTGGTGTTTATGTGTCGTTAATACATTTTGTTTCAAGCCTGCTGTGGTTGGACAGGACTAAATGGCTGCTCGCTGTTAGTTACTGATGCTGTTGGTTATCTGTGTTAAACCGACGTTATTAGTGCACTGACTCATTTACCGCCTTGACGGATTCGGCATGTTGTCAGTAGAGAAAAACAGCGCACTAAACCAGCGAGAAACTGGCCTTAGATCGATTGCTTTCAAATTAGATTATCCTGATGAGGTGAAAATGTTTCTGTCGTCTAGTTTAGCACTGTGCCCAACGCTAAAACGCTTCTGGATGCCTTTTAATTGCTCTGGCAGCATTTTCCATTCATCCGCATTCACGTGGCTTCACATTCTGATTTGTGTTTGATTTAGTAAGAATTGTATTTTAATACAAGCCTTTTTTACCTTTTCATTCACAGGAAGCTCGTTGAACATTTAATTCTGTCAGCATCATGCATGTAGCTAGACGTAAAAGGATTTGCAACCTTTAACACAGCGAGCAAAGTAGGACCAACCCAAAGGTGTCGTGTCTGACGATTATTTTCCACCCAAGGAAGACCAGTTATCTGTGTATGGATATGGCCAGCCCTCAGACAGGTCTGAAAACCCCTTTTAAAGACCTGACCTCATTTAAAGGCAACATGAAGCGGCTGTACAGGGAGCGACTGGAAGATGCTCCCATTAAAAAACGGGTAATGGCAGAGATGCATTTGAAACGTCGCAGCCTGGAGAGCATCCCCAAACCCCTAAAGGTCAAGAAGGAGCGTGAGGAGCACACCAGCTCAGAAATGGACATGGAGGAAAGAGAATTCCACATTGTCGGAGCATCCAAGGCTTTAGATCTGAGCGCCGGCCTCAAGCACACGCTGGCACAGTTCACGCTGAGCAGCCAGAGCTCCCTGGGAGGTCCTGCTGCTTTCTCAGCAAAATCTGCACAGGAGTGCGCCTCTCCTGCTGGCATGGCTCCCCTACCGTCTCCCCCAGTCCTCGGAGGAGGCCCACTCTTAGTGCCCTGTGACAGCTCCACAGAGCTTACCCATTCTCTCCTTGAAGGAGAGTCCATCTCCTGCTTTGTTGTAGGTGGTGAGAAGCGTCTTTGTCTGCCCCAGGTACTCAATTCAGTGCTCCGAGACTTCTCTCTGCAGCAGATCAATGCTGTTTGTGATGAACTTTACGTTTACTGTTCGCGGTGTGATGCGGAGCAGCTGCACATTCTCAAGGTGCTGGGCATTTTGCCTTTTAATGCACCTTCCTGTGGCCTGATTACCCTAACTGATGCCCAACGGCTCTGCAATGCCCTGCTTCGCCCAGGTGCCAACATCTCAGCCGATCCCAACAGCAAACTGCCAGGCCAAGGCCTGCTGAAGGAGAGTGACGCCAGTTTCCAGGTGGAGCACCAGTGTCTTGGCAAGTGCCAAGGCCTGTTTGTGCCCCATTTCTACGTCCAGCCGGATGCCCCTTGCATTCAGTGCATGGAGTGCCAGCTGCTGTTTTCCCCACAGAACTTTGTAATGCACTCACACAAGTCCCCTGACAAGAGGACCTGCCACTGGGGCTTCGATTCAGCCAAGTGGCCCTGCTACCTTCAGCTGGGGCGCAAGCATGAGGGCACACAGGAGGAGCCACAGCTCAAGCAGCTGCTGGACGAGATGAAGGAGAAGTTTCACTACCAGCTAAAGAGGCCTCTGGACAAAGTAAGTGTCTTTTTGTCTTGCATGTGTTCTGGTTCACTAAGGTCAAGTTTTGCTTCATGTTCACAAGTGGATTTGCACGTGTGTGACCAGATGGTAATGTGTGATAGTCCGCAGAGGAGACTGTTTGCTATTGTCTGGGCAAGGCTGCAGTTGTTTTGATAAACTAGTGCTGACCCAATTTTATGGGGTGGCACGAGCAGGTGACGCTTGCTTGGTTGGGACGTATGGCCGGAGGGAGGGAATTCCAGTTGGTATGGCTGAAGGGGAAGTACATTATCTTCCTCTCAGGTCAGTACAGGGTCAGCTTTAGGGGGTTGATGATGACAGCACACATTAAAATGGTGGAATTTTGTTACCTTGGATGTTCAAGGTTTTCTAGTACCTGTATTTATTTTTTTTAATAAATTCCAATTCAAAAATCTGTATTTAAATATTCAAAGCATTAAAAAATATGCAACAGCAGTTTTACACTTACCCTTTCCATCCAAAATCCTTAATTAATATATGCATAATGAGATGATAAGAATATAATGTATAATAATATATATTTTTGTATTTAATCTAGTCTATCTAGTGGCAATGTTAAGTTTAAAGGAAATGGATTTAAATAACTTTTTTCTGATTTCCAGTCTGAGATTGTACTAAATGATCACGAACAGTGTTTTTCTGCACACATACCACTTTGTTACTTCTAGTATTTTATCTACAATAGGGATGGGTGGGTATAAAATTCAGACGGTATGGTAACCTTTGATAAAAATATCATGGTTTGGTTTCACAGTATTGTGATTACTGCTCTAAAAAAATCTTTTGAAATGTCTGAGTAAAGCAACAACGTTTTTTTTTCCGCTTTGAACACAATGGCTCCGTACAAAATCACATACTTCCATATGCTAAAAACAGTATGCGAGCCGAGTAGTATGTTTGAATTCATAGAATTCGAAAATCAGTATGTGAGAAGTATCCGGATGACCTAGAGTGCGGTGAGATTCTGAAGTGTGTATCCGATGGACGCTACGCTATCCCATGATGCACCGTTAGAGAATTTATGAATGGGAGTGAAGCGGGTATGTCACGTGATAATGACAAAATGGCATCTGTACTACGTCCAAGCTCCATTCATACTAGCCACATTACTACTGTATAGAACGTCCGTTTTTGTCGGGTTGTAAATTTAAATTCAGATGCAGTACCTACTAAGTAGTAGGCGATTTTAGCCAATATATTTTGTTTTCAGAAACATTTAAAATATTTCGGAGCAGTAAACATGTCAGGCTAAAGCCTGGTTTAAACTTCTGCGTCAAGTGACCGGCGTAACCCACGGCGCATGTAACGCGCGTAGCTGTGTATTTATATGTCTGCGCGCTGTCTCTGTTGATCTGCATTAACACTTCCGAAACGCTAGTTGGCAGTGAGGTGTAAATGTTCCTCTTTGTCGAGTTTCTTCACTGTTTTGCTTTTCCTGAACACTTCCGGGATGTACAAGTGGCTCAAACTCGCTCATTTAGAGGCAGGAACTGGCGGACGTACAACAACTTTAACTATGAGGTAAACACAAAACAAAACTTTCCATCCGGAGCTCCTTTACGGAACTCCACACTTGTAAACAATCGCTCTATCAGGCTCGCACCATTTGCGCGGCTCTCGGTCCCGCCCAGACTCGTCAGCGCTACCAAGCCGACCAATCACAGAGCTTGCGCTAAGCGTCATTGCCATGTGTAGTTAAATTTTTTGAGAGGTGCACGTCAGCGTCGCCAACGGCCACGGTGAAGGGCTATGCGTCAGCGCCGTAGCATACGCGTGCATTTGACGCAGAAGTATAAATCAGCCTTAAATAGTTCAAATGAACCATTGACTTTTGCTGTTTTCATTACTCTTAAAATTTATTTACATTTTAAATTTAAAACAGCATCGTTGAATATCTTTTCTGCTGGAGATACTGTTTTCCCAAAAAAGTAAAAAAAAAAATTTCATTTCAAAATGTCATTGTCCCATGCCTAATCTGCAACGGCTACAATGTTTCGAAAATCTTGCACACTGACAGGAAATCAGTGTTGACAAATAAAGTTATATATTTTCCCATCTGTGAATTTGTCCCTTTAGATGGGGAAATTCCTGCATTGTGTAATTGCAAAATCCAAAAGCAGAACACTGGAGATTCTTCCACTTTCATAATGCAACCTTTGAAACAAAACTCAACAAAGTGTCCTCGTGCTGTAGAATCTATAGAAAGGTCAACCTAGTGCAAAAAAAGATCTGTATTGTTTCCCTCCCATTGACCAGCCATGTCTCATGACCCACTTGACCAAGCCAGAGCTTTTCTAGTTTTTTGTGCTCATGTTAGACAAAGATTGACCCCCTGTCGGTGCTGCCAGAGTCCCTTTTTTCTTTTTCGAATGCAAGTGGCAGCAGTTAATGGTTTAACCGTGCTGTAATGTTCCAGCACACACAATTATTTTTACTTCCGTTCCGACGAGAGCAAATGATTGTGTTCTGTCTGTGTGTGCGGAAGAAAAGCCTCAGTCTCTCCTGTGTGCTTATGCAAGTGTGCCGGAAATACCGTCTGGTGTCTCGTCTAGCACCCAAACCGCATTCCTCCTTCCACCCTCCCCCAACACACACTTCATGTACTAAAACAGACCTTGAGTCTGTCAGTCATAGTCACATCTGCTACACAGACTGACCTCACCCTGACACACAAACAGCCAGCTACACTGTAACTCTCGGCTCACTTCTGCTTAACGCACACTAATGAAATTGATTCACACGCACACGCTAAACTTCCCCTGAGAGCGTCTCTGCTCCGCTCAGCTGAGGGTGAGATATCAAACTCCCAGAAACACGAGTGAGTCACTGACACCTGCTCTTTGCACAGCGAGCTGTTAACTGCCGAACTCCCGACACGTCCCTGTCTGGCAGTGTCTTGCACCTGACTTCATGCTTTTTTTTCCTTTTTTTTTTTTACTTCCTGTAAGCTCATAACTTTGAGTGTTATTTTAAGATGCAATGACCCAAAAAGGGATAGTTCACCCAAAAATGTATTCTGTCCTTATTTACTCACCCTTCACTTATTTCACACCTGTCTTTAGTTTGTTTTTTACACTGCTCAGCATAAATGAGTAGACCCCATTTTGACAATCAATAATTTTATCCACATCTCGGTGAATATAGGCAATGTATTTTGGTGCATTTAAACAAAACAGATTTATTAAACAGAAATGTTTATTAAAATAGTATTTTAGTCACCAAACCAATTTAGTAATTGAAAGATAATACAGTTAAATTCAAGCAAAAAAAATGTACAACCTACAATATATCAACAACTTTTTTCAATTTTTTTTCTTCTCTTGATTTTTCCTCATTTTAAAATTTGTATTTAATGTTTCTCTATAACATATGTGTTTGGGTGTACAAGTTTTTGTATCATTATCGTAAGTTATTTTGTTAGATAAGTTCCAAATTTGGCTTCAGTACTGACTAATCTAATGTATTATGCATAAATATAATATTGTATAGCTTTATATTAAAATTATAAATTTGAAAGATAGATTTGTGAGGGGTCTAGTTATATATGCTGAGCACTGTATATTAAAAACAGTGGAACTTTTTTTTTTGTAGATATCTGAAAACCTTGTAACCATTGACTTCTATAGTATTTGTTTTTCCTGCTATAGAAGAGAATGGTTTAAGGTTTTCTTGAAAATTTCTTGAAAATGTATTTTTTTGCGTTCAGTGGAAAAAAAAAAAAGGTTTCATTTTCATATAAACAATACCTTTTATTGTGTTTTACATGTTCTAACACAGTTTTTTAACGTTATGATCTTACATACACAAATATATGTTGTTTTAAAAATTATTTATTATTTTTACAATTTATCGGCACGCTATGTTTTCCTTGTAATTAGGCATGGGCCGGTATAAGATTCTAACGGTATGATAACCTTAGATAAAAACATCACGCTTTGACTGTATTGTGATTACTGCTCTAAAATACGTTCTTTTTAAATGTCTGGGTAAAAACTGAAAGTTTTTTTTTCTCCTTTGAATACATTATATTATATTATATTTTAAGAGACATTTAAAATATTTTAAAGTAGTAAACATGTCAGGTTAAATAATTCAAATGATTCCTTGACTTCTGTTTTAATTTGTTTCTAAAACTTTGTTTCTTCCCTTTACCATTTAAAATGGCATCTTGGATATATTTTCTGCTGGAGATACTGTTGTCCTAAAAAAAATTTCCAAACGTGTTATACCTTGAAAATGGTTATCGTCTCATGCCTATTTGTAATACAACAATAAAATTTTATTAAATTCTAGGTATCTGATAAGTTTACAAATGAAGTAAGATTAAATTAAAATATTTGAAAATAAGATTGCAAAAACACTTAAGCTAATATTTCCCATCTTTGCTTTGCTTTTAAAGTAAATATAATAACTAAAATAAAAATAAAGCATTTTTTAACTTCACAATTACTATTAATTCACAGATTACTAAAACAATGTTCAAAAATATTCTATTAATAACTTCCAACTAAAATTTGCAACTGCTAAACTTGTCTTCAACTTACTTGTTCCAGTTTATTGCCAAGGCAGAAAAGTTTTTAAAACGTAAATTGTATCTCATTTTTTTCCTCACATTTTAATTAACAATCACTGCTTAAGATTGAAGTGGTGTCAAGTACACAGGTGCTTGCAAGATTTGTTAAACTGCTTTTGGAGGAACCGTAAACAGGCATATGTGCTTACGTGAAAGGTCATTACCTAGACGCTGAGCTTACACGGGTCTAGCCGCTAAAGAGAAACAACATATGCATACTCTTCTGCTGGTGTCCAAATCAAGAAGTCACTGTTATGCGGGCGTCTGTGTGTGTGTGTGTGTGTGTGTGTGTCTGTGTACGGGAAGCAGGGCAGACAGGCTCATCAGTTTACTGGGTGAAATGTTAACTCTAAACATCTGTGATGCCGGAGCGGCAGAACAAGTGACTCAGAGTTTCCAC